TTCAATTCTTCAACTGCTTTGTCGTCGATTTGAACGTTGTCTTGCTGACTATCATTCAATTCTTCAACTGCTTTGTCATGAACATTGTCTTGCTGACTATCATTCAATTCTTCAACTGCTTTGCCGTCGATTTGAACATCGTCCTGCTGATTGTTATCAACTTTTGCTTTCTCGTGATAAATGACTGCCGCTGTTGCACTATTTTGCCTCTGACTCTTATCAGATGACGTTCCTTCCGACTCGATTTGTGGTTGACCGCCTGTCTTGTCAACTGTTAACTTTTCACTCGAGTTCTCATCCGTCTTCGCTGACTTTTTATCTATTTCCCTTTGCAATTGTTCGTTCAGACTTCGTTGCAGCTTTTCTTGAGCTTCTTTTATGGAAAACTCGGATTTTCTTTCATTTAATCCCTTGATGTGTCTTTCGTGAAGCTTGTCAGAAGATGAGCTGTGTCGTAGTTCCTGACCCATAGTTTGAAGAACTTCCTGAACTTTGCCTTGAAGCATGAGCGAATTTTGTAGATTATGTTCTTGTGATTTCTTACGTGCAAGCTGTTCTTCTTGCATGGCTTTATGCTTCTGGAACTTGGCAAAGAATGGTGACGATGGTGGAAGGGGGAGCGGTGGGGGGCCTAGCCGCACTGGAGTCTCTCGAACAGTGTGAGACGGAGTTGAAAGTTTAGAAGATGAAGGTGGAAGCGGAAGTGGAGGAGGAGTTGCCTTTGATGATGGAACAGCGATCTTTGAAGATGTTCTTGAATGTGATGGACTTGATGTAGGTGAGAATGAACTGTTACGAGAGTGTGCAAGAGGAATCTTTGATGGCGGTGAGGTTGATATGTTCGAAGATGCAGGTGTGGGAGCTGGTCGCGTGGTTGTTGGTGGGAGTGGAAGTGGTGGAGGAGCGGAACGGAAAGATGACGAGACTGACGCACTCTGGTTAAAAATGTTCGATAACGAGTTCTTTATTGGCTTTATTGTCGGTGACGTAGAACCTGGCGATGACGTAGAGCGACTATGCAAATTTGGAGCTGTTGAAGACGGAGCTGAGGCCCATTGAGCTCGTAGTGATGAAAAACTAGGACTTGGACTTCGTGAGCCTGCCGTGGTGGTGGTGGATGTGGATGATGTGAACGGAGCCGAGAGTTTACTGGTCTTTGCAGCAGCAGGAATTAGCGCTGAGTCTGTTGATGATGGAGCGGACTCATTACTTGCTTGTTCTTCAGTTGTTTGCTCCTCGCCCTTTTGCGCCTCAGTTTGCTTCTCAGTTTGATCTTCAACCGCAGGCTTATCGATTGTCTGCTCCTCGATAATGTCTTCTTCGGTCGGTTGCTCATTGATTTGTTTTTCGATAGACTTTTCTACTGTGGATTCAGATGATTCTAATTTCTCACAATTTCCATTATCCACAGGATTCGTTTCATTTATGACTTCTACTTTGATAGTTGTCTCATCCTTCATTTCATCTGCAGTCGGTGGAACATAATGATTCTCACATTCATGATGTTCGCTTGTCGTCGAGTCTGAGATTACGTCTGCGCTCTCTGCATCCGTAACGTCTACTGTTGTCTCTATGTCTGTAGTCTCTTTGTCCGTGCTTTCCACTTTTGCAACCTCTACTTTCGCTGTCTCTTGCTCTGCGCTTTCCGCTTCTGCAACCACTACTTCTGTAATCTCTGCTTCTACTGTCTCTATTTCAGTGTTCTCTACTTCAGCCATCTCCATTTCAGCTGTATCCACTTCAGCCGTATCTACTTCAGCCGTATCTACTTCAGCCATATCTACTTCGGTGCCTACTTCCACTTCGGGTGTCTCTACTTCCACTCCGGCTGTCTCTACTTCAGCGCACTCAACTTCTGCTATCTCTATGTCTGTGATATCTACAGTTTCTGCTACTTCTACTTCCGTCGCCTCTACTTCTATCACCTCTACTACTTCTGTCACCTCTATTACAATGTCCTCTACATCTGCAATTTTCACTTCTGTGCTCTCTGCTTCTGTGATCTCCATTTCAGTTACATCCATTTGGGAAGATTCGCATGCATTTGGCTCGTCGTTCAACAATGTATACATCGAGGCCTCTTCACGGGACAATTGGGAAATATCTTCACCGAATACCTCGGTTTCAGCGCTTATGGGTAGCGGTTCATCAAATTCAGCGACTTTGCCAGACTCTTGTTCGGACTTTTGAGTTTCAACTTCGGACAAGTTATCACATACATTGGTTTCAGTAGAAGACTCTTGCTCAAAGTTTTGCTGAGATTCGTCGTCAAAGAAAATGTCATCACTAGTCTCAATTTCTGCATCGGATCCTTCTTCAGCTTTTGAATAAGAATCGTTATCGAAGTTTGAGACAATGATAGCCATTGCGCCTTCATCATGCTCGACTTTTACATCTTCTTCGATTTCGATAATTTCCTTGCCATCCGATTTGTCTTCAGTTTCAGTTTCCGTTACAATCAAAACAGTCTTGATATCTTCTTCGGTTGAAATCGTAACCTGCGGGCTGGTTTCGACTAGAGTATCGATGATTTCATCTGGCTTGCCTTCATCCACAACGTTCGATTCCTGTTCTACAGCATCTGATTCTCGCCAGTTTTTCTCTTCTACACCTTCAACAATCTCAGAAATGGACGTCGCATCCGTCAGAGTGCTAGTGGACGTCCTTTGAGAGTTATAAGCAGAACTGACATTTGCGCTTGATGCATTACCAATCGTGTCACTCGGTGTAACCGATCTACTATCATTCGGAGTCAAGACAAAGCTGGGTGTCAAAGGACGTGAAAGAAATACAGTCGGCAATTCCGCCAATACAATATTATCCGTCGGGGAAGAACTCAAAACATCATCAGTAATATTCGCCAAGTCAACCGCGCTATCTGGTTCTTGGACTTCGTCCACAAGACCTTTGTCCAATTTTGTCGATGATCGTTTGGGCTCTTTGTTTGTCATTTGGAAAACAGGCGGTACCGGAACTGAAGCGTCGGCGGCTGAACCTGCCCCACGATTGCCCGATCCGAAACCAAGCGTCTTCATGAGACGATGTCCAGCAGATTTCTTCCGAACAGGAGCTGTCAGTGTTTTTGTAGATCTCATAGAACTAATTGAGGAGACAGAGGAGGCACGGTCACGGAACGATATCGAAGATTCTGAAGCAGCTGTTACAGGTGAATTTGCAAGAAAGTTTCTTAATATCGGTGATGGTTGTCTGGTCTTTCCTTGTGTTGTGTTCTTTGACTGTGGCTTGGATGACGGTTGTTGCTTAGCGTCTGAAAACGTTGGTATAGGTACACCGATCAAGCGGATATGACTCCAAGCTCTATCGGGCGAATGGAGTAGTACATCGCGCAAGTATTCGATCTGCGAAGCGGTATCTATATGAGCTCTTCGCACCGTTGAAGCCAAACTAACGCTTGATTTGTTAGACCCATTGCCGGGAAGAAGCAGGTCGGTTTCACTTCTGTTTGTGCTATAACTAGAAGATGCTCGACTATGAGGATAACTTCCAGACAATCGACCAATTCCGAATCCTGTCGATCTTCCGCCAAAGCAATAAGATTGCATTATTCTTTGACGATCCCATTCGATGACTGTCATTGACCATGAGACGGAATTCCATTGTTGTTTCAGTTGAGTGATCTCATCGCGCAGTATATCGAGAACCTGTTGTATTTGTCTTGCTTCTTCAGGTATATTGTTAAAATATTCAGGATCTAAGAAGTAATCCTCGACGTTCTGTTCATTAATTTCCGCAAACCTATCGTGCTTTTGTAAATGTCGAACCAATTCTTGTGCAAAGTAAGTTCGACTCGCTTGAAGAATCTGCATGGCCCGACGAGAGCTAGCATATAAGCAAGCATTGAACGTAGCATGTTGAAGTGCGTCAAAGAGGTTGAATGGATACAGAATACAGGAAACAGAGCGGTATTGGTTACGTATTTGATGGGGTTGTTTCATAGGTTTAACTATGAGAATAACTCTTATGAATGGTTTCATCGTATTAGTCGCATACGACGTACCAACTATTGTAGTAGAAGCATCTTCGGTAAGTGATGAACCACCTTCAGCCGAGTGAGTTGTTTTGGCGAGCAGGTTAACACTTTCGTCATCGCCAACGTAAGCATCCGAGATGATGTTGATAGCAATGCCTTCCTCTTCATTGTCACGGTTATTACTTTTTTTGTTCTCTGTTATTACCGCGTTTTGCATCTGTTCCCCATCTTCATCCATATTCTCTTGGAATTGGTCGCTATGTTCCGAATCCAATCGAGAATGAGCTTCAGAGTATACTGACGGAGCAAATGCATCTGTATCGGCAGCTTGCTCGGCATTAACGGCCGCGGTGATCGGTTCGGGCACAACACTCTCAGATGTAGGAGCAGGCACGGGAGTGGTTTTACTATTTACAGCTGCCGGTACTGGCTCTTCATTAGTTGGTTTAGTCTCGGGCTCTTGCTTTTTAGAATTCGATTGGGGGGCTTCATTGAATGCTAACGAACCATATGGCGCATCGACGTTATCATCCAATTCGCCCATCATAGTGAACATTTGATTCGTTTGTAGATCGAGATACAAGTCTACCGTTTGTTCGCTATAAATGTCATTGGCATCCCACGTCAAATTAGTGTCTGTCTGTAATTTATGGTATGCGTCTATAAAACCCGTTTGAAAACGTCCTAAATGCGCAGATGACTGGGAAAGATCTTCAGACGCAGAAGCAACTAAATCCATGAAACTTGCTTGACTTAAACAGGTGAGCGATTTGAGCCAGCTTGCTTCTTCTGGCGTGATGTTTGCATCATCCCGGATTTTTTCGATGGGTATAAACTGTTTCCTTTCTTGTGGTACCATTACTCTTATTCCCTGTAAAGTGCTCTCAGCATAAAAGACTCCAAGATACAGTCCGGGGGATAATTTAGATTTCCGTGAACACCATTTCTCAATGAAATTAGTCCATATGGGATGAGGATCTTTCTCATATATAGGAGAAATTTCGGTAAAGTTCTTCCATTTAAGTGTACCTGCTTTCACGAGATCAGAAGCAATGTCATCTTTAAATGCATGAGGAACATATTGCAATGTGACTATAAATTTTGATTTAGTAGATGGCATAGATACAACGTGCTCATAAAGTGCCCCTAATGAATCAAGTGATAGTTCATTTTTTAATTTGATTACAGCCTGACCAAAGCTCCTGGTCCACAGAGAGTCATTGTCAGTGAAATAGTATTCATCCGGATCATATGCTATGGTGTTTGTGTATGAGCTTGTCGATAGAAGCGAGTCGGTGTCGCTCGAACTGTCATCTTTGTCAAATTCGGTGGACGTGGCCCAATCGAGCGACGTGCGCAGAGCATGCGCGAATTCATCAGAGTCGTCTTCCACATTGTAGAATAATTTTCGATCTCGCACTATTTCCACTGTAGGAAATACCTTTGATCCCGACATTATTAAGACTTTGCTGTCGCTTGTAAAGAGTATGACCGACAGGTATATCGTGTCCATGTGAAAACGTCCCTTTAGACATGTCTTGGGACTGAATACACCCCTTCTTTTCGAAGCATTCGGACTAAGATTAGAAGATGATAATGATCTCTGGTAGTAGAGACCAATACGAGTGTTAGTAAAAAGATATTGATAAGCGGTGTGATTAGCAGGGATCGAATAATTGCTAGACAGTAAAAGCAGTCTCCATATGTGTGCAATTTCATTATGCTTTTTCGAGATAATTAACCTTTTTTGGATGTTCTTCATTATATATGAGTTCCAAATACTCTGTTGTTTTCTTTCTGACAATTAGTGTATCCTGTTTAGAAAGAGACAATGCAAGCTTTAGTCATGTCTAGTCTGCTGATCAGCCATAGGTTTCAACTCGTTGAAATTACCTCGGCTGGATGCGACGAAAGTAGATACGACTCGCAAAGCCAACACTGGAATAGTTTACTGTACAATGCATAATTCCACGAGTCGTATATTCCCAATATCTTGCAGGCCTGGGGTTGTAAGAAACACGTATGAGAGGGGATAAAATCAACGTAAACGGTTCGCAAACTTGACAACCTACCCGTTCTAAGACTGCCTGCACAGATGTTCCTTGCGTGTACTCGACGTCTACAGGTTTATCACGGCCTTCAAGGCGTACTTGTATTAAACAAAAACTGAATTGGGACGAACAAAAGTAGAATGTAGAAGAATCATTTTAAGCAATGAGGAGCGGAAGGGAGGGATTGATTAGTAGTTGACAAGGTAAGAAGCCATTTATAGTAATAAATTTATATCTCACGATTATTCTTTTGAATTAATGATTAACGACATGTTTTGTTTTTTACATTCTCTATCCCATAGCTTGCAACCTCATCACACTTACAAGTCCATGGATGATTTATTTCCTCCTTCTCGTTTCTTTTTCCCAAGACGAATAAGATTTTAATCGAGAAGTTTACAAGGTTGTTCGTAATGGGAAAAGAGAGTTGTTTGTCGCATAGACGATTAAGTGATGGTGATGTAAAATAAAGAATGAATAGTAATTGACTTGATATTATTAGTAAGTGCGGTAAATTAATGAAAGTAAAAAGTTGAATATATCGCAGTAAAATCTCTGACGATAGTAAAAGTGGGGTGAAATCACCGAAACAGGATGAATCGTGTATATAAACAGAATGCCCAAGTGCTACCGCGATATATTCGAGGATAAATAATTTAGTGTAATGTAATGATATAAAAGCCGATACATAATTTGAAAACGCCTTCATATTTATTTACTATAATTAACTTGTTCTTCTCGTCTCGAGTAGTACATCTAATTTATGCACAGTCTGCGTTTGTGTTGCGCAATTTTTGATTCCACGCACTGGTCGCTGACTTTTTAGTCTTATGTTAACGCCAGTTTAGGCTCTGACGTTTAATTATGGTAATATTATGGGATTCTTAAAAGGATGGGGCGGGGATATAGAATAGTGAAACGCATCATAATACGTATTGTTGCATTCTAATTCGATTTGGTAATTAAATGCATTCGATTTGGTAATTAAATGCAATCGATTTAATTAATTGTATCGTGCGTTTCGGGTTGAGGATGGTAGATCAAGGGTCTGTCTGGTATTCGCAGAATGAAGACGGGAGATGAGATCAAGTACGTGATGTTAACATCCTTTGTTACGACACAAAATCTTTTCGAAAGACCAATTGTAATTGCAAATGTTTTATCGTCAAACATTGTACAGAGTAGTCTCCAATATATATATAATATAATCACTTGGCTCTCAACCCTACGATTGAGATGGACGGCTATTCGAAAAATGGATCCTCTCTCTGCAGATGGTATCTACAAATATACAACTATGGATGCATATCGTCAAATTGGCTGGTCTGACGATAAATAACGATTCTCGCACCATGCCGTATTCCTTATTCATGTGAATTGTTAACAAGTTTTTTCCCCCACACACACTTTACGTCAAACTCTTCAATGCTAGATAAAGATTAATCAGTCTTAATATGGGTAACCAAATCTGAATTGACTCACGTGGAGAAAATATGAGACAAATATGGTTAGACACAAGTTATTTATAGTTAAACAACTCATTTTATTATCTTTATTCTTAGTCATCATATAATCATTATATTAAAGCTGGTTCACTTTCTTGATAACAACGATTTCACTGTCACAAACGTACTCCTCAATTTCCTCTTTTGCATGATATTTACTCACTTTCAATGTACGAAATACTAATACAATACTGAATTAAACATGATTTCAATATTGTCTGTATAAATACAATTGTAGTACATTCATATTGTGCAGGGGAATACCGAAACTTTGAAGAGTCACAATATGAAATACATCAACGTACCGTCATTGTGTATACGATAATAGTGTATTCCCTTTCCTCCCCCCATATTTTCTTACTTAATGTATAACTTTTGGCAATCATTGGCTCACTCGACACTACACTCTGGACGAAATTGGATGGCATACAGTAGTTCACTCTTATTCGTTCGGGTCTTTGGTCGAATGGCCAGTATCTCAACATTAGTACTACGTCGCACAAGTATTGTTCATATTTATGCTGTATTGCTATTACACAACCCGCAAAGCTCTTGAACCGATTAAATAACCAACCAGCCATCCGTTCAATTTCTTCCAGTTGCGTAAAAGTGCCTTAGCATTAGTATTTGTCTTACAAACTTACTGGTCGAAGCCATCAACCGCTATATTAATATGCATCCCAACAGTAACAAAATCGTTTTGTTCGAATGTTTCAAAATACCCGTTCTATTCCATTAAAATTATCGGCCCCAACCTTAGCCGATGGCTTGTTATGGTTAGATTTATAATGATAAATGATGTTTAATTATCATGTCTTGTAGATTTTGGTAGCAACCCCATTGACGTCGTCGACTACTCTCCCCAATTCCGGATGGATTATCGACACGATTTTAGACAACAACGGCACCGAGAGTGTCAAAACGAGTTTCAGGGACAATTAAGAAAAAATTTTAAATTAATGAAATGAATAATCTTTAAAGTTTGTACAATTAGTAATAATCTTATTAAACTTAATTTCAACTTAATGGGGATTTTCCTAGCACCGATTAATCTGATGTACTGATCCGAATAAACGTAAAAACATTGTGTTTCAACGGGACACGGGCAAGTAAGCAGCTCAAGTAGAATATGGATATATAATAGATGTAATTTTATAAAGTATCTGATATGCTATTCAAACAATATCCTGTTCTCGGCAATGGAAAGTCTTCTCGTCTGAATGATACTACATGAAAGCACTCTGTCAACTATTCGACAGACAAAATCTTTTTACAAGAGCTCACCCTCGTTTTATCAACTGTTTATCTCCGCGTAACATCAGAGTACAACTAATATCGCTGATCATGAAGATGATACGTACAGCATTAATCAAGTATGCAAGTCGATACACGCAATCAGTTAATATAGAAAATGTTCACCTGACAAAAAAAAAAAAAGAGATTTAGTCATTAAACGTGCCAAAATTCCACATGAATAATCTTAAAGCTAATGATAAATGTCATCATGCTTCTGTCTAAATTCCGGTTACATGAGTAGAACAAAAAAAAGCCGTTTAACGATAATTTTATTGATTCGTTCTAATCAATTACGACTCTCACGGTCGGGCGTACCATGATGTAAATCGGTTAATATAGAAAGTTGCACACTTTTCTGTGTAATATTTGGACCTTTACTTGCACCGTCAAGGATAGTGTTACAAAAAGTCTACTTTACTTCAAACAGGTTTCATCATAATTACAATATACCGGACGGCAGTATTAAAACAATTGCATTGATGGCTTTAAAATTTCAGACCTTCGTTCGCCAGATTATTTATGCGACAGCGTAATAAATTTTGTCAGGATAACATTGACAGATGAGGTTAAATGAAACCATAAAACAATTTTAATAGAAAACTGCTGGTCATACGGTATGACCACAGCATAGCTATGTGCCTTTATTAAATAAGCAAACATTAAACAAATTCTCAACCAATAAATTCTCCTTGATTGATTATTGCAATTACCCTGTACCATTATCAGCAAAAATTACCAATACTTTTCGCGAGTTTATATTGGTTGCACATAAAGTAAATGTTTGATAAATCCCTTTTCGTAAAGAGGGAAAATATAAGCTTATCAAGAAACCTCTGTAAGAAAACGATACATGAACAATCGCATGGTTGGAATTTGACTGCGAAAAAATGTTTGATATCAATCGCGCTAAGAGCCATAGTACTGCTGCCTTGTGCTATTCATCAACTTCGTTGCAACAGAACGGATTTTCAGACGTAATGCATTATGACATGCTAAATGACGACTCGCTAAGCAAAATCGATAGAGATTAGAAAAGCTTATTGTACTGTGCGCGTCGTTTTCTGGATTTTCGTCGCATTTGGATATAAAATTAAAGCATTTAAAATTTCTTATTGATTTGTTGTAAGAAAGACATCTTGGTTGGTAAAAAATTTATTATAACCGCGATAACTGTATTAAATCAATCGTCTTTTATGGACCGCTTCTTCAGATAAAGTGAAACATAAAAATTATCCCATTATTATGAATTCGTAATAAATGTTTTTATTGTCCGTTGTAAGACTAAAAAAACAAATATTATTATAATATACTTTTTATTGTGTAAACTCTGGTCGGAATCTACATTAATAATTTTGCAAAGCCAGCACATAAACTTTATTCGAATTGCTTTGCATTTATCAATGTTTATTAAAATTTAATAGAGCTCAGCCACGACTATGCACAAGTTGAAGAGATTACATATTAATTACTATATGTAATATGGGGCATGCTGCAACAAAACCAGACAAAGTGAACAATCTATAAATGATGTGATGTGACTGCAAAATTGATCAGGGTGACTGATGATGTTTTGCCTGAGAAAATTGTTGCGCAATGTCGTCTGAAAGTGGACTTTCGTCTCTCGACAAAGTTGAGAAATGGGACGTAGAACAACTCATCAGGTATCTTAACAAACATTTGAGCAGAAATTTAAGCAGTCAGAATGAGAATATACTGAAAGAAAACGACATCGGGGGCTCTGCTATTCTTGATATGTCGGAAGACCGTCTTGTCAGTTTGGGGTTCACGGTCGGTGCTGCTATACATGTGTCGAAGGTTATTAAGAGACTAAACGCACGGCTTGGTGAGTTTTGAGTTTGACCAAATTAAGGAAAAGTAATCGTTTCAGTATTTGATCGATACAGTACGTGACCTTTGTTTCTTCTAGAGCGGTTCATTTTGTTTTGCATGGCGACATATAAAAAAAAACAAAAAAGATTTTTCAGTTGTCGTTACTGGCTCTTTGGACGATTGCTGGACGCTAGTACAAAGAAAAGTCAAGACGGAATTTCTTGATTTGCTTGAAGACGTTGATGAGTGTGAAATCGCTATAAAACCAAGTTCATACAACCAAGTAATAAAAGATAAAGATGCATTTGAAATCTTTCTTGAGACCGTTCCCAAGCATAAAGGGGTTAGAAACATCAATTTTACTGTCGAAACTAGTAAGTATGAATTGGTTTGACACTTTTTTTACAGTGTTTTGAACCGAAAATACGCTTACTTTCATATTTTAGCACAAATAAATTTCTCCAAGTATAAGAAAATAACTGATCTTGTGGATATCTTCGGTGCAAGTATAAAAGACTTGACTACAATTGACGATTTACCCCAACTGAAATTCCGTATGTCATTATTTTATTATTAAGAACTTCATATGTTGTATATGCATACTAATTAATGTTAAAGCTACAAAAACTGCTGATATGTCTCAGTTACAAAGTATAATCGAGGCTATAGTGACGCGTCTGAAGGTACATTCGTTATATGTTTATAGTTCATACAAGTTGGTTTAATACTAAATGATTTACTGTTCACCTTTAAGCTGCTTATGAGCACATCAGGTCCAATTTCAGGGGAAAATGAGATAAAACGGTCATATTATTGATGCTGTTCTACGCGACGTTGTCAAATATTGTGGAAACGATGTTCAGATGCATCAACAATATAATGTTATTGGATCACATGGAGATGGACGTGTAGATTTTATTATCAAGCATGTGAACACTATAATTTGTATAATAATAACTGAGGTAAAGACCACGGATGGACTATGTCAAAATTTCATTCAATTACACAGCACTTGCAAGGTAAACTATATTTTCTACACCAATGTGAATTCTAACACTATAACAATAATGTATTCATTAAATAACTCAAATCTTACATTAGACCAATTTAAGAAAACGAAAGTTGAACGATCTTGATGGATACGATTATGTTTACGGAATTGTATCTACAGGTGACCAATGGATCTTTACGGTTGTAAGTTCCGATAATGAGTTTGGAGCAGCAAATAAGAGGACAAAGAGGCTAAGTGTTTCTGACTATGATGTTGGTGGTGATAAGCTGAAAGAGGATGTAGAAACTCTAGTTGTTACAATTATTGGCATCACAAAATTGCAAGTATTATGGATCAACCCCAGTCAAAGAGACAGCGACTTGAGAAAATTCTGTCTTCTTGATGATAGGTAACATCACTAATATTAAAGTAGTATTACATGCAATAATCATTTATACTTTTGTTGTCATTCTGGTTTTTTGCTAATAAAAAAATTTTTATGGATGTTTAATATGGGGCATGTTGCAACAAAACCAGACAAAGTGAACATTTGATTATGTGACATAAATGAGAGGCTGATTATGATGTGGCTGTAAAATTGACCAGTGCAACTGATGACGTTTTTTTAATTTTCACTTTACCATACCAAAATGGGATGATTATAAACCATAATAGGAGCAATATAGGACTATCTCTATATAAAAATTATTAATATGAAACTAATTTACATTAAATCCACCATGGAACCCAAGAATTACAGCACCATTAGAAGCATTCTAAAGAAAGCTCAAGGAGAGAAAATTGCGCCTTATGTTTTTAAAATGAATGACACCCAAACTCTCCAGGAATACCTAAATAAAGAAAAAATTACTTATGAAATTTATCAAGAAGAACGAAAAATAATAAACCATAAACGAACATTGGCGTCTACGTATGATGAATCAAGAAAGAAACGAAAACTTGAAGAAAGATAAAGAAAAACGAAATCGTTTCTTATAGTCTTGATAAAAGACCGTTTAAGTGTATTCGTATTCACATTTGCTTTTTTGACACAATTGTAATTAACAAATTAACAACATAAAATATTATAATATTGAAGCACCAGAGTGATTGCATGGGAGGAAAATACTCGGACCCAAAGCCATTGATGAGTATAACCTATTCTTTGGTCACTCTGGTGCAATCTATACTACACTTCATTACTGTTAACGTCTTTATGTTCTATTTCTTTATTTTTATCAATCCATTCTTCGATAGTTCTACTGTCCTTTTCCTCGAATTCGTTTTTTGTTTGTAAGAATTCTTCAACGTGGAGGCATCAACGCCTTTTCCTTCGCGGATTTTGGTGGCCATTTGATAAAATGAAAATTTTGGATCCGATTCGGTTCTTTTATCGTATGATTTTCTCAAATCGTTCCACAACGTTTCGATATCTGGCAGATAAGTTCTGTTCGCTGATAGTTTCGTTTTTGGTAACTTTTTAGGGACGGGGGATATGATAGCTTGAAGCATGCGTACATAGTAAGCAAATGTTTGGTAAACTGTTTACAATAGCAAATTGTTACCATCTATCTTTACCCATGATGTTCATTCTGTTCTTACTCATTATAACAGCTGAGATTGTGAAAAAAAGGAAGGCGGATGAAGGTAAGGTCGTTTACCAGAAGACTCTTGCTGGACTACTATGTTTTTACACTAAATGTCCTGTTATTGTCTTGCCTTCTCCATATTAATATATTATAATACAGATGAGCTCTCGGGTGCTGAACGCGAGTGTGAACCACGAAAGCAATGTTTGGCAGAGGCATTAGAGACAGTGTCCGACTAAATTAACAAAGCACCTGGCCCATCCTCACTGGCACTTCGTAAAACGTTCCCCAAGGAGCAGCAAGCACTCAATTTGCTCTGCCATCGTCCCCTGACACACTGTGGTCGTCAAATTACCTGGTATCATCAAGCTTTCTGGAACTTTGTAAGACACAGCACAGATCAGAACATTCAGCTGTCCAAAATTTCCTATGATGCAAGTGTTGAACTATGTGAGGTCATGGCAAAGATGTACAAGGGAGGGAATGATCAATGTCAAGTGCTTGAATCTGTGCTATTGCAGGAGTTTGAGCTGGAGTTCGCAGAATTCACCTTAAGCAACCAATCTAGACCTGATGGAATCAGTATACATGAGATCAGTCTCCCCAATCCCAAGGACCCCTCCCATACTAATACTTATTGAGAAAAAGTAGCAATAATCATTTGTGAGAGCAAGAACGAGATTGAGGGTTCAACAATGATCCATATCTCCAGGCAACGTGCTCATACTCTAAATTCTGGAGCCAGCCAAGGCTCAATGCTTTACGGACAAAGAGCAACTGTCCTTCAATGCTGTTCTGCTCAGCTGGACCATGATTTTGCATATGCAGAGCAGTGTTCCTTGATACATAATACAGTTATCATGGACCCTTTGACTGACATGATTCCACTGATGCCCATGAATGATATGGTGCACTACATTAAATTGCACAGATAATGGAGGCACTCAAAACTGCTTATAATGACCTTGCTGAGTACTACAATGCATTAGGGCAATCAGAACAAATGCTTGCAGAGGATATTGATACACAGCGATTCTATCCTGACATTAGGAGGTTCAAGGATGTTAATGGTAAGGATGTTAGTTTTTGCTACACTGATGACCTCTGTGACCAGTGTGACCCTATAGGACATTTGCACTTATTACTATGCCAGTGCACCAAGCCTTACCAGGGCCAAACAGAGGATGGTCAAGAAATTGTTGTGAAGTTCACAATGCAGTACAATGAGGCTGCTCATGAACTGTGTGCTAAAGATAACCTGGCTCCAAAGCTGCTTGGTGTTGAAGAAGTCTCTAAGGGATTGAAGGTGATCATTATGGAATATGTTCAGAACAGTAGGACATTAGTAGACAACAATATATATATATATTGTTGTCTACTTACACTAGGCTGTTATCTACTTATGAGTATACTGCTACCTACTTATAGGTATACTGTTACCTACTTATTTTATAACTACCCATTTTGACCTCTAATAAGCTAGATATTTACTTCCTTTTAATGGTTTGATGATATGTAGGTTGCGTTTGTATCGTCATTCAACAGCCACTAAGGCATGTGCTGAGAAGAGGTACAATGTGCCATGGCTTGACATGCGTTTTGCATTTTTCACGTCACTCGAATGACGATCGTGGCAAATTTTTGTCGTCACCCACATGCGACATAATGTATGCCAGTTTAGTAGTCGTGGCCGATTTCTGTCATTGGCTCACATAGGCAAAAAAATATATCGGACGATGCGTCCAATCATATATCGTCATTTGTAGACCCAGATTTTTCTGCCATCTTCTCTAGCCTTTTTCGCTGATAATAATCTCGAGATCGATATTTACCAGCGTGCATTATACGTGCGTCATATTTGGAAAAAGTTAACTTACTACACTTTTTACATGGTGTACACATAGGAGAATTCTTGTGAACATGACAGTCTTCAACTTCATATTCCTCATTGTATACTTCTTCGTCACCAAATAGATCAATCATATTCTATGCTAAATTTTTTAACGATATATACCGCATAGAATATTTAATAAAAAATTAATTGCGCAAATGATATATGTATCGGTATGCTATCTGGTTATGCTATCGATAATGCTGTAAGTTGCGAAAAAAGTGGGTTAGCTTTGACTATATATATGAGAAGGCAGGTGTGAGCTAGAGGCAAAGCCTCCTCACTTCGTGAGTCGATTAATGCTATCCGATTTTAATGAGTATACTTCTGAATTGCTCAAAGGCCTTACGGATAATAAAAAGAAAAATCAAGCACAAAGACGCCTTCGAGATAGGTTCAAATTTAGCGATGCACAGGTAAGTGTATTAATTCCTACTCAAAAAAGTGGTCGGCGAAAAGTCGCAAATCTTACAACTCTAAATAAAGTTTCAACAAATTCAGACTCAGTGGTACCACCGCAGAGCAAGGGAACTTACATGCCAAAAACCATTAAAGAGTTAGCACAACGAATTTTACGAGACAAACTTAGTGAAGAGGATGTGAAGTCCGAATCACAAAAGTTAGCCAAGTCGGCATTGAATGAAAATGCTGGGTCTTCTAGGCTCTTTCGGCTTCGACGAGAATTACGATATTAAGACATTGCCTGATTTGCAAGCTCTTGCTAATGTTATGATAATGCTTTGTATGCGTCCCGCTGAAGTTACTACTTTACGCATTACAGATGCCGGCGTAACGGATTATGCAAAGAACAGGGGTCAGCCAGACGATTTACGAGTATTTAGGTCTCTTGAGAAAAATCCAAAGCGTTACTGACCTGGATACAGAATGCTATATCATCTGGGAAACTCGAAAATCCTGGGAAACTCGAAAATCCAGGTAAATCCGGACTAAACGGTTAAATAAATATTTAAAATCGTATGGGCTTATTCCGCGTTATTTGCGCAAAATGGGCGCAGTATACGCTATAGTAGCACATGGAGCCAAAAGCCTAGCTCACCACGCCATGACAATTGCCCAAGAAGCATTAAGACATTCTCCAGATAATAATATTTCTCCAACGCAGAACTATGTCGTCGTAAATGAAATTGTTTGATCACTAATTATTTTTCTGTGGTACCACCGACAACCCTATTTTTGGGTTACACGCCGATCGCATGGAAGGACGGATGGTTGATATAACGTAGATCCATAAATATCAAGTCACAGCATTATTTGTTACTATTATACTGGTAATTGCATTACTCGATTTAGAACGAAATCTAAGGAACCAATGCCATAGTCACCAACGACAAGTTTTGATGTATAAAACCGGTCGAAAGCACTGGAGATTTTGGAAAGAAAAGCATTCTAAGTGGAGCCAACGTAGCCAAAACGTTCACTTAATGAATCAAAATATGATTAACCAACTTATCAACCGCAAAATCAATAACCACAAGATGCAACTTAATAGTTCCGATATATTTTTATTTGCCATTTTCGTCGCTGTGTTTGTGGGTTATGTGTTTACTTATCAAAGCGCACCGAAACTTGAAAGAGGTATCTCAATATTAAAAAACAAAACTATCCAAATGCATACTGAAGCGGGATGGAGAAGTGAAGCCCAAAGTAAAGGTTTGTAAACTATTTCGTGAGAATGACACGCTGTGTTAGGACATGTATAGTATATTATTGTATTTGTTTCAGGGTTAAACTCATTGCTTTGTAAAACTAACTAGGACAAGCATCTGTACAAAGTTACGGATCCGAATGCTATACCGAAACTGAAACCCTCTGGGTTGAATTTACTACCTTGGAAAAAGAGAAACGTTCTCCTGCACAAATGTATAATGTCTTGTCCGGAGAAATAGGTCTCAGTCTAACAACAGTTGCAAGTTTCTATCGGCATCAAAAATGGCCCCAGAGAACATTGTTAGACAAAATCGAAGCGAAAGAGAATCGAAAAAATTCCAGTAGCAGTAGCAGAAATCTATTTTTGAGTAGCGCTAACAGAGAAATAATTCGCGTTGGCAGTAGTTTCAAAAATAGCGATAACAATAATGATGATATTAGTTAATATTCGCGAGCCCAAAAAATAGTAGTTATTGTCTTCCGCCGTAGGCAGAGACAGGCTTTGGGTCTGACTACTTCTAGTACTCTGATCAAGTACTAGTTTGCCTCCCATGCAAGCTCGTGGTTATTTAACATCAGATATTGTCGTTGACGAAATAGACACTGTTTGTAATAAATAATGTGTAAAGTTTATTAATACTGCGTAAATGTGCGATTCGCAAAATATACTAGCGAACATTGTTCCATAGTCATGTGTATACTGCGCCTGTGAACTTGAATTCCAATGGCGTAACACTGATTCTACATAATACATCAGGAATACAATACAACAATGGAAACATTGTGGCAACGTGATATTAATATGTAAAGAAGCGTATTAAAGAGTTTTCCCTCTTTGTCTTTTGTCTCTGACAAAGGCATGGCCAAGTGCTGGTCCCAACGCATTCGGTTGATTCGAGCGCTTCAATACGGAGAAATATCACATGTTTGTGTAAGTAAAACGTATAAACAGGGCTGAGTTGGCGGCGCAGATCGCGCGACTCTTATTTTATCATTATCCTTCACTAAACCACACAAAAAACGTCGACATGGATGCTATGAATGTAGACCCAAATTAGGTAAAGAACAATTAAAAACCGGTCAAATCGCAAGCCCTAATAAAGTGCTCGTTAATTTTGACAAATCAGGCAATAATTGTATTCTATGGTGCAAGACACCTAAAGACCGAAATAAAATACCCAACTTTCAAAACTCTAAGGCTTTTATATTAGAGAGTTTGGAGAAAAACTAATCCGTAAGAATGATAGAGCAGATGAAGTAGAATAAAAGTTACGGTTTAAAATTTTTAATC